TGTAGGAATATCACCCATATTAGCAACCAAATAAATAACAGAGTATTTTTCTCACTGGATCTTTATCTGTCACGGTTAAGCGAATGCACACTCAGAACCGGAGCTCTGATACCAACTGAAGGTGAGAAAATACTTAGAAGGGGGGGGTTGAATAAGTATGACAGAAAAATAATCAACGATAAAAACACAAGTATTTTTATCCTGGTTCGTTGAACTCAACTACTCCAGTCCACCCTTTTCAAGAGTGATTTGCCTTTCTCAACAAGGACTTAATCCACTATTCAAATCAACTGATTACAAATAGCACACCTAAGAACAACTGTTCTTAGTCTTCTTAAGAGCTACTGATCTAACCTAGATCCTCTTAAGGAAAACTTTCTTTACAACTTAATGTAATACAATGAAAGAGTAAGAATTGCTTCTATGAAAGCTATAAACACAACTGTGTTATTTCTCTAAGTTTAGAACAATGTATGAACAGTGAAGAATATGAAAGCTTTTTAGCGTGAGAGAGTTCTTGTCAATATTGTTGTGAATTAGCACTTGAAGAATGAGCTATGATGTCCTTTATATAGCCACTTGAATATTGGAGAGAATATTTTACCGTTAGAGAAAATATTTCCAATATCAAAATAGTACTGTCCTTTGTACTATTACAGCAGAGAGACGGCGCACAAAATGTGGGTGTAGCAATTGTCTGCTGAGCTGTGATTTAACTATATCAGGAATGTACCAGAGGAATAATCTTCTTTGCAGAGAATTTTGTCTATCCCAATTAAGGAAAGATTTGCTGGCATATTCCAACGGATATATTAAAATATTCTTCTTCAAATAATTCAGATCAACAATCAATATCAGAGTCTTCAGTCTTCAGAACCTTCTGGAAACTTCAGAGCCTAATATGTTCTTCAGATGTTGATGAATCAGAGTCTTGGTGCAGCTGTGTGCTTGAAGCGTAACATGCTCTTAGATCAGAGTCTTCACTCAGATCAGAGTCTTCTCTCATTCAGAGTCTCTTCACACAGAGTCTTCTCTTATTCAGATTCTTGATTAAAACATGCAGCGTGTTGTATCTTCAGAATCTTGATAACTAAGCTCTTATACTTCAGATTCTTCTAATCTTCAGATGCTCTTGAGCCATTCAGAATTCATTGTTCACATCAAATTTGCTCTTTAAGATTAAAATCTTTTGTGCCTGTAGAAAACAGTTTAGAACAAATTTAGAGAGTATAATTCTTGTATACAAATTATCATTAATGTTATCATCAAAACATAGAGATATTACTAAGACACAATCTGTGCTCTTACACTTTTATCCTCTTCTTACCATGCGATATAGACTCTACTGTAACACCCTAAACCCTGAAACTTATATAAATACTCGACAATTTAAGGTGTCATTTTGACAACCAACCAACAAAAATTTCAAAAACATTTAACAACATGCAATGGAAATTAACATAGTAACAACTTCAAATTGAACTTCTCAAATAAAGTATTACACTTTAACATCATAATTTGACTCCAACTTAAAGCATAAGAAAAACGTCCAGTTCCCGATGTTAGAAGATTAGGGCACTAAACCACTAAAATGCAACAACACGATAAATAAACGAAGGTAAGCTCCAAGAAGTTATCTTTCACTCACAACAACAAAACTCTACTCCTGATTATCTGCAAGATATTTATGGTGAACAAGAAAAAGGGATGAGAATAAACTTTGATATAAAATGGCGTAAAGAGTGCGAGGGTTGATAAACACACAACACATCACACATTCGATATACAAACCACACCATTACAATCTCACACATTTTCCACCATAATATATACATGTGCATGCAATGTGACTCACGCCATCGACATTATGCATGTGGTACCAATCAACGATGGTTCTTCATATGAACCGAGTTCACCCTTCTGAACCCCGAGCCCATGCTTCTAAACTCGGGACAAGTTACTCGTCCATCCTTCTAAACTCTTAACTCACCCTTTTCACAACAACGACACAAATGATGTATGGAAACAAAGTGCAACATATCAACATCCAACAACGCAGTTTCCGCTTCGAACTATAAACAACATGAAACATAGCAACAACGTAATTCCCCCTTCAAAACTACCACCAAATATAAACAAGATTATGTATTCTCCAAATAATTAATCACCAATCATTATAACAATTCTCATTATCAACCAATTGGAAACAACTCAACATAAACTCAACCATTTCATGTATAATCATTTTCAATTTAATAAATTGCATTAATTCATATCAAACAGAAACACATAATCTCAAACAATACGTGACTGTATAAACTAGTCGTCAAAACAGCACATTGTCACCAACTTAACTCGAAACAGATCAATTATGCACTATCACCCTCGTTGGGCGACCTACAGCTCGCTAGGCGAGCGTTCTCTAAGCAAACTCTCATCTCGCTGGGCGTGCACCATAGAAACTAGAATCCCTCATTTTGCATATCTCACTAGGTGAGACATCGCCCGCTGGACAAGATCACGCTAGGCAAGGTTCATCCTTGCTGGGCGAGATTGCTTATACCAGAACTTATAACACACAATTTTTCACCATTGGAGTCCTATCAAAGCTCCGATTTTGACCCCAATTGAGCCTAAATGCACGAAATTCAATGGTATATGTTAATACAATATTAAAACACTTAAATAGGCATAAATTACCATATACTACATCGATTTGAATCAAAATCACCATCACCTTCAACAATTGAATGCATAACAATTTTATACAATAAGTGAAGCATCATTAGAAAAAAAAAGTTCATGAAATGGTCGAATATCCAAAATACTTCAATATCATCTTGATCAAGATTTCATAACACGCTCAACATACCAATAGCTAAATCAACTCCCAACCACTTGATTCAAGGAGAGATCCATCAAACAGACAAGATTCATCCACTAAGAACCTTCTTGTGCACTAACCACATGTTATCGCCACATGTCTCCAACCGGTGGCGGATCCAGAAAATTCCATGAGCGGGGACAACAAACTCAATAAATGAAATTGGTGATCAATTTTTCTCATTCAATGTTTTTTCTATCACTTTTATTATGAATGACCCAAATATTGTAACTTTTATTAAACAAAACACTAAAAATTATAAATAGAACTATTTTTTTTAATAACTATGTTTGAAACCAAAGTCGTCTCAAACTTTTGAGAGGCCCTCTATAAGAAGTTGGAGTAAGCTTGTGAAATTTTTTGATGGTCTCTTTTATTCTTAAAATAACCATGAAATATATGTAAAGATACCCTTTTCCCCATAGAATAATCTTAAAAAATTGTGAGGTCTTGTGTTGTAGGTCGCCTTGCACACCTTCAAAGACGGCCTTGTTGAAAACAAATTTTTAAAAATCGTGCATTACTTTTACAACATTGTCTTCACAATTAATAATATAATAGGAGAGAGAAAAGAAATTTATATTTTTAAATATTAATTCAATAAAAATGTTGTTAAAAAAATTCATTAATACATATGAAAATTTGTAAAAAAATCTTATAAAAAGTTACATATATAAAACGTAGATCTTATAAGTAGAAGAGGAAATAATTTTCATATGTCACAACTTGTTCCAACACACATAAACACTTTTCTCATCAAGTCAACAAAAGTCACAACTTGTTTCAACCAACCCACGTGATCAGCTTACCCAAAGACACAAATGCACACGTATAAGTTCACATTATTGCTAATGACGAGAAATAATGAATTTGTTTGGAGACTGAAAAATCAACATCAACCTTCAAACATTAACCACATTAACCACATCAATGCAATGGAAACTTGTTCAGATGAAAAACTAAAACATATCTGAGCAGAAAACTCAACAGTAAAAGCAACAATGACAAATCAGTCCAGAAATCTTGATGTTTAGTGCCATATTAGGAAACATCACCTTCAAATATGAGCTGAAGTTCTTCAAAGATGAGCTGATGTTGAAGACCTTGAAGAACTAGAGAGAATGTGGTTGAATATATAGGAGAGAGAGAGAGCAAAGATATTTGATAAATTTTCTATGTGAGAGAGAAAAAAGAGTTGTTAGAAGTGACAAATTTGTTGCATTAAAAACCGAAAAAAGTTGCCAAATGAAAATCAAGCAATTGTTTTTTTATTCTATCCATTAAAGTTGTTAACAAATACAAAGAAATTGGTATAAAGTGTCTGACCATATCATTAGAAAGAATAATTTGTTTGAAAAAAAGTAAATTTTGGACACAAAATACCCATACAACGATGACATAGCAGAAGTAGAGATAATGCCAAAAAAATATTTTCTATAACATTTAATTTTCTTATATTATAGATAAGTGATTTCTAATATTATATAAAGTTTAACATAAACCTAGTCCTTGATCTCTTTGATGTTGTCAAATTATTTATAGAATTTTCTATTTTATGCCATTAATTTGATTTGTTATTTTTTTCCTTTTTAGTAAAATTAAATTTGTGATTAATTTTTTATATACTCAATCAATTTAAATAAATAAATATTATTTTTTTAATATATAAAAAAAGTGTTGATCCGCCACTAATTTTAGATATGACTTTTGACTATGATATTTTCTTATTTTTCTTTAATAAGTGGAAGCAATAATGGAATTTCAAATCTTAGTTCTTCTGTGTCCAAGATCCTTCCCACATCAAAGCAATAAGTGACATGATAGATATCATATACAAATCCAATATATTAAAATTAAAACCAAGTTCTTATTTTTCTAATTTTTTGCTTCCATGTCATCATCATATACAAACAAATACTAAAACCAATCAAATTATTTCATATTAACTACCTACTAAAGCATGAAATAACATTTTGATACACGCATAGACAAAAATAGTGGATCCATCCATCAGTAACTATTTGTACAAAGGAGCTCATGTATTAAAATCTCCAAATGTAGAGCCTGATGTTTGTCCACAACTTTCAAGACAAAACTGAGTCATCAAGGATTGATGTCATATTGAAACATCTTCAGAAATGAATGCAGCCCATGCATCCTGTTCATATTCATATGTACATTTTTTCAGTATTTGATCTTCATAATTCAATGCTAGAAATGTATGTATATTTTACATACCTGAAGAATGGAGAAAGCTTGCTCTGCTACATACTTGTGCAGGAATGTTTCGCCTTTTTGTTGTAGTTTGTCTGGATGTAGGCATAACCTTGCTTTCTGATAAGCCCTTTTCACCTGTGAGTTTTCTTTTAGATTTACAAGAGAAATCGTATACCAGCCACTCTCCGGCCAAAGAATCTGGTAATGGAAATATACGACAAAGGGTCAAATTTAGACTTAGAAATACCGAAGATTTCATAAATTGTTAGTTAAGAATAAAAAAACAGAGAAAAAACTAACATGGTGTAGTGTTGAGAGCAGTAGCCTGATGTGAGTTTCTTTGCCATATGACCACATTCTTATGTTTTCATCCAACTTCTCTGTTTCTGTCTGTTGCTTCTGCCGAAAAATAATATTAGAGATACTAATCTAAATCTTTGTTCTCAGGTTAAAGAAACAGAAAAGTAAAAATACAAGCTACTTCAGAAAATACATAAGTTGAAAAATTCTGATTAAGCTTTGTATCGGTTATTAAATATATAGTTTTACCTTAGGAGGTTGAACTTTTCCAATTCCATTATCATGGATACTTGCATCAGAGCTTCCTGCATCATACATGACAACACACAAATATGAGGTGGTTTGCTTTTGTCTCTTTCAACTTTAAGATCAAAAGTGTGTCTGATGTCTGTGTTTGTTAAGATAATCAATTACCTTGTCTTTGAAGAGTCTGCTCATTGCTATCGTTTTTCATTCTTGACTCTTCATTAGGGCTACCTGATTGAAACTTCTCTTTGGCCCATGCAATTGCTTCATCAATGTCTGATGCTTCACATTCTCCCTTTTTGAGGTCAGAGTTAATCTCTATAACATAAGAGCTCATAAAATCATCATCATCGTCGCTGTAATCATCATCACTTTCACCGTCATCCTCCTCTGGTTGCATAATTTGTTCTAAAAGCACATGATCATGAACTGAACATTTTGATTCAGATGGAGAATTGAGATCAGAGTCATCTGCGAATACTTTGACACCTTGATATGAACAGGATCCGAGACTAATTGTTTCCGGGGATGAGACTCTTTTTGAGAATCGATGAGGAGAGCTTTTGAAGTTTTTCTTGTATTCATTGTTTTCAAATGATTGAACATTGCATGGAAAAAATGATACATCTTGTTTACTTGGACATTCTTCAGGTACCATAGCTGATGAGTTCCATTTCCATGGGACACTGATTGGCCTGTTGTAATCGGAACACAATTGAATGTTTTTAGTGGACGAATAAGTGAGATGTTGGGAGTTTAAATCCGCATCCATCCAATGGAATATCGCGATCCAATTATCAACGAGCTGATGGGACAATTTTTTATATATTTTTTGGAATTCAAAAAAGAGAATAAACCTTCAAAATTCCTCAAAAACTAAGTGGCAAACATAATTTAAAAGTACTAAAAGAAAACTTTTTTTTTTGTAAAGTTTTTAAAAGAGTAAAAATATAGTGACAAAGGGCATATATGTCAATTAGCAAAAATGAAAAAGAAAACCGTTACTATGGGTACCTCAGCTTTGAAGCAAGAACAGACAGTGGTACATCTTCTCCGATAATCGGCCGGCAAGGGCTTAACTCCTCAGAACTCAGTGCTGACGACGAATTTGCCTGTGACAGGGACCCAGACCGCTCTCTAGATTTCCGGTCGTCGTCCGACCCGAAGATATCGCTGAAAAATCCCTCGTTTCTTGCCGGAATCCTGAACACGGGTAAGGTTATGTCACACTTCTCCGCCGGAGGTGTGAACTCCGGCATGCGGATAATTTCTTCATAGAACGAATCGGAGTTAGAGAATTTATGGACGAGGAGTGATCTTGGCGGTCCTCCAAAGACGTCGGAGTAGTCATCTCCATCAACAGATTTGGTATGGGAAACGCCGGTGCCGGGAAAAATGAACTGGCTACTCCGGGAAAATGGCCGGCTCTCCACTGATCGCCGACAAGGGTGGCCCCGGAATATGGTCGAACCGGTTTTTCGTGACTTGTTCATTTCTTCCGGTGACGTTTAGCGATAGTGCTGCCGGAGATATTCAACCGGAGCTTTTGCCTTTTATTTGTTTAATTTTTAATTTTGTAGTGTTTTATATGACGCGTATACTAGTTATATAGAGGTAGAGTTGAAACATGAAAGATCACAACGCAAAAAGGGAAAAGATAAAAAATCAAAAGTTGGACAAAAAGGAGATTGTGAAAATATTATAGATTGACTTTTAGTACTTTCTTCAATACAATAGTTTATTGAACTTATATTATGACTCAGGTGAATTCTATCATGAACCACTTATGTAATTGAGAGACATAATTAGTTTCTTAAGTTTAATGTTTTGCTTTAATTTTTTTTAACTAAAAAACACTATAAGTTAGTCTCTTAATTTCACTTTTGTTATTCTATTTAGTTTTTTCAGTCAATTTCTGACAAAAAAAATGTTAAATTTTGATGACGCAGCGTGACACTAAGATTATTGCTACAAATTTGAGTTAACATATGTTGTTAAAAATGGATACACTGTTTAAAATACATGGGTTTTGTTTTCGAGGGAACCTCGTAGTTTAAAGAGTGTATTTGTTTTTAACTACATATGCTGACTTAAATTTGTATCAATGGTCTTTCTGTCCTGCCATGTCATCAGAACTTAACATTTTTTTTTACCAAAGTGACAGAAGGGACCAAATAGGGTAACAAAAGTGAAGTTAAAAGAGTAATTTGTAACATTTTTTAGTTAAGGAACTAAAACGGAATATTAAATTAAATTAAATGACTAAAACATGTATTAAGCCTATAATTGATTAGTGGGTACTTTATTATTTTTATTTGTTTGGGTCGTCCGCCAAATCCATGTTAGAAGATTCAATAATAAGTGCTGCACGAAAAATATGTAGAATATATGAGACCTCATTCTAATAGAAGATATGTGATTCTAACGTTCAATGTATTTTTCATAGATTTGACCGAACGACATCCCATGTGAGGTGTTGCATCTCATTGAGACTGTTTAACCGCTCATATTGTATAAAGTTTAACACGCGTTATTACCTTCTCTCTTGTTCATTGACTTGGACATTTAAATGTTAACCTTGCAAGTCAATTCTCGCTCTGTCGTATTGGAAGCTCACTCCATCGTGTGAGAACTTTGTTCCATTCGATCTAGTCCCACATTGCTTGGGATTTGAGGCTAAGTGTTGTTTATATACACTCATACACCTCAACCCAATAATACGTTTTTTCTAAAGGATAAACCTGTGAGGATTCTCATACTAAAAGCGAATAATATCTCGTAGACGCAGACTTGAGGTTGACCTAAACATACAACTGTTCCAAGTTGGCTAAAATAGTCCCACATTGCTTGAGAATCGAGGCTAAGGGTAGTCTAGATACAACCCCACATACACCTCAATCTAATGAGACATCTTTTTTAAAGTATATAGTCGTGAGGGTTCTCACACCCAAAAATGAACAATACTTCATAGTCGTAGTGACATGGACTTTAGGTCTACCAAAACATTGGAACTAGTAGAATGGGCCGAGCCCACATGCTTGTACCCTGCCTTTTAGCTTTGATTGGAGAAAATTGTTCGCGGCTGGCTAAAATAGTTCCATATTGTTTGGGAAGTGAGGCTAAGGGTAGTTTATATTGACCAAGTAACTCCAATGACTCCAAATAAAATGGGGATAAGTGAATCAACTATCTGGCTACCATTAAAATAAACTACCAAGCTTACTTAATTACCTTTTCTTTTTAGTCTTTTTACAAAGTCATTTGGACAATATGGTAATTCATTAATCAACCAAATATTATGTCCAACCGCTAACCCTAGAGTTACACGTGTTTACCCAGGATACAAAATCCCTCCTTTAGCTAAATCTTTTCCCTCCTATCTCATTCACTACTTTTTCATAACAGTAAGGCTTTTGTACTTTCCTTGTTACTTCAACCAAACATTTGTAAGCTTCAAACTTTCCATTGACGTCAAGGTATGAGTTTATTTCAACTTTCCATTCTTCTCTCTATCTTCGTCTTCCTCAACGCAATAAAATGTTGCTTTCAAATTTCCATTCATATTTCTATATCATTCTTCCTTTATGTGAAAATGTCCATGCTTTATCGGGATGAAAGTATGTGAGAACTTACAATGTTTTTTGCTTCCGGATCTCAGAAATGTCTAATGTTTTATGTTATAAGGGTTAACAATCTTTTATGTTCTATTTCATATTTGATATGATTATGTATTTCATATGTTTTTTGGTTATGTTTACTGTTTCATGTGTTTTAACGTTTTTTCTATTTTATACGTTTTACTGTTTTTTTTTGTTCTGTTTCATGTGTTTTAACTTTTTTTTTCATTTCATACGTTTTGTGGTTATGTTTATCGTTATGCTAATTGATGGTTTCATATTATTCTATGCTTTCAGCGAGGTTTTTAACGGGTACTTTCACTCATGACCATGATTTCTTAAAACATTGTTTCTTACCATGTGTTGATGTTGGAAAAACTCGGTTACTCTTGATGATTCTTTCTCCAAATTTATTGTTGAGAATAAAGTTATGCATTTTCACATCTATCACATACTTATTCTCTTACTTTTAATAATTGTGCCTTTGTCATGGATGTGTACTCTTTTTTCATGTAAAATCACTTTCACGGTGTGTTTGCTAACTCTCATTTTGCTTAAGATTTTTTCTCACTATTGGTCCATTATCCATAATGTTATGAATGAATGATGTGTTTGCTAACTCTCCCTTAGGAGGTTTTCAAATTAACTATATGTGCTTAATTACTTTTACATATATCTAACAATGTTATTTGTGAATCATTCAGATGTCTAGGCCTCCGATCTTCATCAAGGATTTGTAGACGGGTAATCATGTATGGAAAATGTCAATTAGGGTTTAGATCTTTGGACCGTGACAGAGAAAAGTGGATGGCTACATATGGAAATGTTCATTAAATATGCAACGGTGACCATTATATTTATATATGCCTTTTCTGGCAAACATTTCTTCTGTTATATTGCATTTGCTAAATCGACTATGTTTATATACCTAGGGAGATCAAGTTCATGTGATTGCACGCCATAGAGAATACAAACTTTGGATGGACAAGCTTATTAACACATCAAACTTATATGTTGTACAATGGCCAACCTATAAACAATGACACCCCTCCAAAAGTTTGCAGAAACAAACTCAAACTGCTTTTCAGTAGTGCGACAACCATTACTAAAGCTGAGTTTCCTAAAATTCCTGCTCACCAATTTAAGTTCAAGTCTATACTTGACATTCTGAATGGAAATATCTTCCATGGCTATTTATATGGTAATCATACATTCTATCCCATCCTACAACTAAACACTCTTCACTGAATGTTATTTACTTATTTCGTGTTTTTGTATTCTCTTTCATTTAGATGTAATTGGTTGCTTACATGAAGTTAGTATAACACAAAAGCCTAGGAATGGAAATAAGTTTTTTGCAAACATTTTTTAAGTGATGCAGGTGGAAATACCATTGATTATACTCTATGGGATGATTATGGTTTCCAACTAATGAATTACGTACGCCTAGACAATGTTGTTGGACGAAAAATTATTATCATTACACATGCTTTGTGCAAACCAAACACTTGTATGTTGTAATAAATTCACATTTAACATTGGATATTTTCTACCACATTGTTTAATCTTTTTTCACATATATTTTTGTTTTTGTTTCCTATTATCACAAGCTAGCAAACCAAGTTTGTCCAATGCTTGCCGTGGATCTAAATTACACATAAACTTGGAACACCCTCAAGTTGAGCACTTCAAATCTAAGTAAGTCGGCATATATTCATGTCATACAGTCTTTTTGTTTTATAATAAATCATAATGAGAGTTTTTGTAACATAATTGTTCTGCTAACAAATTAGGAGACTATAAACTGTCCTAGACGCTATCACAACCCATGTCCCAAAAATATTCTTCACAAGTTTATGAGGATCACAAGTATTGGATAACATTTAGTGAGTTCAAGAGCATTCCAGAATTAATTCAACACAAATAGGTCGCTTTGAACAATATCATCTACCTTTGTCATTTGAGTAAAATATGGAACATGACTAATACGTATTTTCTTTCATTTATAGGATTGTTACTGCACCATTGTTGGAGAAACAAATGTATTCAAACTAAGAAAATGTAGATGGTACTACAAATGTTGTTCAAGTTGAAATGTTTCCAACAAGAATCCTGGAATTCCATCTCACTGCAGATGTGGTGGAATTGATACAATTGGTGTAACAAAGTATGTTTTCTATGCACATTTTATTTCCTCTTTCTTTGTTAAATCGACTCCTTCCTTAACTATCCAAACTTTGGTTTCTCTCTAGATTTAAGATTGAGATTAAAGTCAAATACAAAAATCATGTCCTTTGCTTTATGTTTTGGGACAAGGGATGTGTCCCGATACTTGGAATGATAGTTGCAGCTTTGAGATCCATCATGAGGGAGGTAAGTAAAAAATATATGTCATCTTCATTATTTTCGCACTGCATTAGAACATGTTATGTTGCCTTTATCATGTTATATAGCCAACTAATATACATCATTCTTGATCATTTAGGCCAACGAGGATAACTCGTTAATCTATCCTGAAACCCTTGACGAGCTCTTGAAAAAGAAATACACCTTATGTGTCAAATATCAGACACTCTACGACTAATGCTCTATTGTAATGCTCAATGATGATGTCAATGTCATCAATAGTATTAGTGATTTCTTATACCCCAATGAGGTAATGTTAATGTTACATTGTATCACATAGTTGACTTCTTCATCTTAAACTTTAGACTAATCCATTTTTGTTTCGATGAATTTAATGACCAAACACCTATTTACTATTATTTGCAGCAAACCTCAAAGGCTTAACATAAAGAACATGTTCCTTCCATTCCACTTGATTAAACTAACCAAACTGTGATGTGTATTACTTACACTTGACTTTATCTTTGGCA